ACAGAGAGAGAGAGAGAGAGAGAGAGAGAGAGAGAGAGAGAGAGAGAGAGAGAGAGAGAGAGAAAGACAGACAGACAGACAGGCAGACAGACAGACAGACAGACAGACAGGCAGACAGACAGGCAGAACCGGCCCGACAACATTCTATTGTTCTCGAAAAAAAAGAAACTAGGCAAATGCTGTAGGCCAGAAACACAGCAGCAGTTCCTTCCGCAGTGGACCCTGCACTCTACCACAGGCATAGTCTATTTAGTATCCCGTTCTAGAAGAGCAAGAAATTGAGCTTCAACCCGATGTAAACTACTGCTGTAAAAGCATGTACTGCTGTAGTACTACGTATAATGTAAGTACTACGTAGAATTTTCTCCAGAAAAAGGCAAGTGACAGCAGTTGCTTGGGGGCCACGGGCCGGCTCTGTATGTAGGATCCTGTCCTCATGTCTGGCAGAGTAACGAAAAATTCAACGAGCGGTGAAACATGTAGACTGTTATTGTGCTGAATGTACAAATGCATGCGTGCAGTTGGAGAGCATGCCCGATGAAAGCAAAAAATACTACTGGTACTACTACTGCTGTACCTGGCATTGTAGAAGAACGTTGAAGTTTTGTTAGTTTTACCGGCTCGAGTGTTTTACCGGCTCGAGTTGTTTCAGTTGATGAGCCCCAACCAAGTCGTAGTATGTTTCGCGCGTAGCGTTGTGGCGAGTTCTAGCTCAAACACTTACCTGCAAGCCCCCGCTGACCCCCACAAGGCGATACGTCGTGTCCGTGTCCGGTGTTGTTGTTGCTGCTCGTGCCGACGGCGAAAGAAGCACGGTCCAAGCGAAAACGCAACAGATGTTTGTGACTGCTGTACACAGCGGAGGCTTCAACTGCCTTGGCAACCCCATTGATCTCGTTGCCCGCCACACCGCGCCGTGAAACGTCTTCCTTCGACAGCAGTAGTAGGTAAACCGATGGATACTTCTTCCTGCCCGGATCGTGGTGGCGTGGCGGGGCCGTGATTGTCGACCCTTCGATGACGTCACGCGAGGCATTCTCCTGTATGTAGATCTACGGAGATCTGCAAGAAGACTTGGCGGCTTGGCGGTGACTGGCTCAGGGCCCCAGTCTTTCTTGTAGATCTCCGTAGATTTGGGAGGATGCCCGCGGTAGCGCTCTTGCTCGCCCTACTCTCTTGTTGTCTCATTCCACCTCAAACCAGGGAAGACACCACGCGAAGGCGAGGGGGCAGTAGGTTGAGCAAGAGCGAGATTCCGGGGTAGGTCAACAAACTGGTTAGGTAAGTTTTGAGAGAGTAACCAACTTCCGTGCTGTGAACATATGACTACTGCTGTATACTGCTTGGTGCTGCTGTCGTTTTTGCTGCTGCCAGGTGTACCACTTGAGAGTGATTGACGCCCGCTGGGAGTAGTACAGAGCCTACGCGTCCCTGTGGGCCTCCGGTTTGGGCGAAACCCCATAGGTACAGCAGTAGGTGAATATTGAAGCTTGCTCAATTCTTTCATAGCGTAGGAGACGCGGAGGAACCCTTCGCGTGAAAAAAGTAAGGCCAGAAGGCCAGTACACAGCAGGAGAGCTACATGTAATGCAACATTGCACCACAGTAGGTGTCCCGACATAGTGCCGGTATTGTTGTTGTTGTTGTTGTTGTTGTTGTTGTTGTTGTTGTCTTCACACGAATCTCGTGTCAGTTGCTAATCCCAAAATCTAGCAAAGACGCGGTCCGTGGTCACAAAAACGCTAGAGCCATCAGAAGATATAAAGAACACGCAAACAAAATAGCAAGAAAAGGGTACACACGCCCGAAGAGGTACACCTGCATTCCTGCAGCACGTTTGCGTGCCCAAGAAACTGAACTACCCGTCCACACACTACATTCGACTACAGCAGCATCCCCCCTGTCCCACACTTTACCAAACAAAAAATGAATGTTTGTCGGCTACAGCGTATAGCTGTCTGGAGTGCTGCCTGTACAGTAACACCATGGTAGGCATGGTACAAGTTCGGGGCGCGCAACTGCTGTCTGGAGTGCTGTCAGAATGCGTCCGTGGACATACAGTATAAAAGAACAACCAACCAAAGCCATAATTGCAATTGACAATCACCGAATCTACCCCCGATCATCTGTGTTGGACACAGTAGTGTAAATAATTGACACTGTGACTAGGAATCGTTCCACATTGAAGGGGTCTTCCACGATTAAGGTACACACTAAGGGCACCCGGGGTATCCGCGCCATCTCTGGCGCGTCTCTCTACAAAACCAGTGATATCATCACACACACCCAACACCGATGTTCAGGAAAAAAACGGAAAATATTTGACAACACAAAATGTTCGTCCATGCGTCACGGTTCGATGTCGTCCGTGTGCCGCTGCTCCGGCGCCGCTGCTCCGGTGTCGCTGCGGCCAGTCCTAGCACGACTATACTCGACCCGCTCCGTCCGTACACGCTCTCGTTGCTGTCCTTCCCAGTAGGTTCCTCACCTTCTCCCTCGTTGCACTTAGGGTTCTTCGTCTGAAAATTCTCGCGCCCAAGGGTCAACCAGCCCACTCAGCTCGTCACCACCTGTTCCCTCCTCCCCTTTGATGGCGAAGCTCCCTCTAGCAAACCGAGGGCTGTGTACATAGTGCCCGTCCACCTTTCTGATGGCGTCTGCCTCCGCGCACAAAACTGAGGTGGACATTGCTGTCTATACACCGACGGCCATGAGGCCCGCGCATCTATCTGCACTTACTGTACCTGACGCACCAGTGCCGACCCAACTCTACCACTACGCACGCCTCGCGGCGGGTGCGCCGCAGCAAGAAGGTATTGGTCCCTTGAGGGTGAGTCTAGCCATGCTCGCTAGAAAGACCCCCCCCCTCGCTATGGGCCATCCCTAAGCAAAAGCCTTGCCGAGGCGGCGAGGGGAAGAAGGAGAGAACGTGTATGTGCCCAGGCGACTTGACCGGCACTATACCGGGCACCGGCACTATTCAGAATTGTGCTTCAATAGTGCCAAACCGGCACTATTCAGGTCCTGAAAATCCCTCCATAGTGCCGGCTTGGCACTATTCAGGACTGTTCGACTTCAGAGTGCAGCGCTTGCGCTTTGCGGGGCTGACAGAGTACCAAACGAACGGTATTTGGACCAATCGTGAGGTGGGCGACGTGGGCGGGCTTCATTAAGTTTCGTGAGGCTCTTGGACTGTCGAAAACACGGCATTGGTCACATTAAAATGAACTTGATTGACCCGATAGATCTGTTGCACAGCAGTCGTTCTCTTCCCACCTCAGCGCAAGCAGTCGCTAGTGAAACGTTGCTGCTGCCTTCAACCGTAGACCGTGCTGCCCGATAAAAGTTCACCTCGCTATCAAATTCTTATGTGTTGTATTGCAAGAAGGCCGTAGCACTATTCAGGCAACCTCAAAGGCATCCCTCGACAGCGAAAGAAAGACGCTCATGCACGCACCCGATGTACATTTGGAGGTAAAACATGGATGGATGTAGTGCTCCTTACATGAGCACACAAAAGCAGACGCAACCTAAAAAAGGGGTGAAGAAGATAACGAACTCCCCTGTTCCTTCGATACAAAGCTAGAGAGAAGACCAAGCCTCCAGAAGCAAGAAAAACGACTGGCCAACCAAAAGACGTCAGTCTCAGTGCGGTCAAAAACAGAGAATATATATTTTTCTCAAGGCCGTGAGAGGGTGTCATGGAGGAGGCTGAGCTTTTCTCTGGATAAAAGACAGAAGAAATGGTAGCAACAGAGACAGGAGAACTACGTGACTGCCAAGGCTTGCTACTTTGAACACGCATTCATTTGGGAGTGTTTTCATCCTTCCTTAGAAATATTTTATTTACCACCACTACTACTTTCTTCACTAATACTTTCTCACTATTAGCGCTTTCATCTCTAGATTCTGTGCCTCTGCGGCGTTTGTTGTGAGGAAGGTCATCTCGCTCGAGACTCTTGCTGTTCCCCTCATCGCCATATTGTCCTCCTGCATCATCACTGCTATCCTTGGCTATATTTTCCATATCCTTCGTCACTAGGGTGTTTGCGAAATGGTCTCCCATTTCGGTCTTGGAAGTTTGAAGGAATTCCGACCCAAGATTGAACTTTGGTTTCAAAAATAGCTTGCGAAGACCGGAGCGCAATATTTCTGTCTTGAACATGCGGAAATTTCCTAGAACGTTGCGTTCAATACGACGGAGCCCCTTTGCCGGCGGCGGCAGACAGATGGTTGAGCCGACTCGGAACACCAAACATATTTATTTCCGAGCTTCCGCTTTCACCCCAACAAGGCTACTACTACTCCACTATCACTGCACCCTCACCCACCCCCAGTCATGGAGAATACTGATGGAGCAACGTACTAATTCATGAACAGGCGGTTGGCCCAGTTCAGTTACCGGGAGTGCATGGGAAGCGTAGCGCCGCAAAAAGCGGAGGCATGCATGTATGTGTGTACGTACCCCTTCAGCACGCGAACAAGTTGTGATACATATCGCAGTCAGTCGTCGACGGAGTCGATCAAACAAATCACCACAGCACGGTCCACAGGACGCACGCGCTGCAGCTCCTCACGCCCCCACGCCGCTTGAAGCATCCCCATCTCCATCACCTCCGCCTCCACCACCTGTGCCGCACTCCTGAGATCTATGCCGCCCGCCTCACCTCCTCACCCTCCTCACGCCGCGGCTTGATGTGTCACTTATTATGAGCATGCATGTAGAGCGGCATGCTTCTGTCCACGCATAACAAACATTTAAGATGAAGCAAAAGTTGCACCATGTCGGCAGCATGCAATGCGCACCGGGTGTGCGGTGCAGCGACGTTTGTCTGACCGTCTGTGGTCTGGCGGCACTGCTGCTGTTTGTAGTTGGTTCGCCATGCATGGTGTCGTCTACGGCGGCCAAGGTGTGTGTGTTTGGGCAGCTCCACGGGATGGTGCGGCGGTGTCGGGAGGACGTCGGGAGTATCTCGGGGTGTGTAGGCCAATCAAAAATTGTTCCTTCAAAGACCAAAATGAGCAAGACTGAATTCAAGCTTTCCTGCGGTCTTTGGGGGCAATTCCATAAAGCAAAAGATTGAATTCCTAAAGATCCATCGGTCTTCGGCGCTCGGGGGGATCAAAAAGACCAAGATGAAACTGAAATTTCAACTTCGCAAACACCGTACTACCACCATCTTCCTTTTCGCTCGCCTCACTACTGAAATCCCAGCCTATTGGTGGAACCTGGTCGATCGGTATACCGTGACATTTGAAGACGTCACGCGTACCGAGAGAAACCGAGCTATACTTGTAGCTCGAAGGGAAACCGTCTCCGAATCCTGTTGGCGTGGAAGGCTTGAGGCGAAAAAAGGTTGTGTGTGGGGTCTGAACCGGCACTATAGCGGGCAGCCCTGAATAGTGCCAAACCGGCACTATTCAGACCTGTGTCTGTGTCGAGAAATTTTACCGGCACTATACCGGACGTTGACACTATTTAACCGGCACTGTATCGGGACACCTACTGCATTCGGTTGGGCTTGATGCCACTGAGCGATACGTCCATTGTTTACACCGAAAGGTGTGTCGACGTGTGTCGAATGCATGTATTTACGTACCGGTATAAACTTAGTGCCAGAACAAGTGGGACGAACACTGACGCATATGCAGCACCTCGGCCATCGATTGCGCTTGACCCCATTGGGGGGGGAGGTAGAGCCACCCATAAAGTGGTTTGAGAAAAATTCACAAATGGTGAGGCGCAATCACAAGGGCGCCCTACTCTTGGCTGACAAAGCCCAGCAAGCGCTGCTCGCTACGGTGTGGGGTTAGTTGTCGTTGCGCGCTCCCCGCCGAAATCTCGGCCCGTTCTCGAATAGTCTACAGCTCAATACAGCCAAAACATACTATCGAAAGACAAAAGGTCCAGACGTTCACGGAAAAAAAACACACACACACAGCTCAGCCGAGGACCCTACACAAAACTCTACGTGTGACAACCTGTACACGATGGTGATGATGAAATATGGCTCTGAGCCTCCACCCGCAAATTGGCGTGCTCTTGTTTCGTTCCCGAGAAATTAAGTTTATGAGGAAATGAACAGGGAGGGGGGTACGCAGAACCTATTCCTAAACCCTAATAACAACCCTAACCCAACTTCCCCGATTGCATGCTTTATCCAACATGTTTTCTCAATCGAAAATCCCTGGGAAATCTATTGTCTCCGGACCCTTACTGCTGTACAGCGCCAGACATCGCAGTTCTCGTCGAACTGACAAGAGCAACCATGGCCAAGGAACAGAAAGAAGAGGAGAACGGGCGCTTCCTGGAGAGCGAGCCTTACAAGTGGCCGTTCGACGGCAGCTTCAGCACGGACAACACCGCGGTCCTCGTCATCGACATGCAAGTCGACTTCTGCGCTCCCGGCGGATACGTCGACAAGATGGGGTGAGCGCTGTTGGCGGGTATGTGGCGGCGGGATAGAGCAGGCGAGAAAGCTGGTGTTGGTTTCATTTTTGTTCATGGCTCTCCCCCCATGACGTCGCACGATTGTTGCGGGTGAATACGATTTTCGCCTTCCCTATGGACATGACATCTTGGGAGGCAATCATGCCGTGACATACAAGGGCAGGTCGGCAATAATGGAGTGCCACAGCCGGGTCAAGGGGGGGTACTATTCATGCCCGAATAGTCTGCCTTGCATGCAGATCATCCGCGCATCGAAAGAAGAACGTGGGGGCCGTCCAGTAGCACGCGCCGACGCCTACCGTAGGTGACGCAAGATACCACACCCCTCGGATCGATTTTTCGACGCTCGAGTTGTTCACTACAGAAACAGTGGTGATGCGGATAAAACGGCGGTGTCGGACCCGTCGTCTTGTTCGGGAGCTGTTCCGAAGACGCATCGCTTGACATAAAAAGCTTCTTCGTCGTGGAGTAATCGACGATCGATCCGGGGGGCGTAGTATCTTGCGTCACGTGCGGTAATCTGAACCCGAATTCCACCGCTCCGTCAGGTACGACATCTCGCTGACTCGGGGCCCGATAGAGCCCCTCCAGCGGGTGTTCGAGGCTGCCCGGAAGGAGGGTTTTCCCCTGATACACACGAGGGAGGGGCACCGGCCCGATCTCGCCGACTGCCCGGCCAACAAGAGGTGGAGAAGCCGGCAGATCGGGGCCGGTATCGGGGACAGCGGCCCGTGCGGCAGGTGGGTTAGGGAAGCACAGTTGACGACGTGCCGAAACGAACCCTGCCCGTACACTCAGCCCTTCTGGAGGCCCATGCCATCGTCCTCAGAATTGGCGATAGCATCCTCAGAATGGGCGGCAACTGCTCCTTTTCGAAAGCTGGCAAGCTGTAGCTCCGTTATTTGCGCAGACGATGCACTACTCGGTTAAGCTGTGCTCGGAGTATATCAGACTCTTTGTTCGATTTCGGCTAGACTACAGCAGCAGACGTTCGGTTCGTTTCGCCGTGCGGCGATCGTGAGATATTAGAGTCCTATTGAGTGAGGGACGAGCCTGGGTGGGAACTCATCCGGGGCTGCTGTACCCGAGAACCTATTTTGTTGGATATGCGGCTGAACTATTGGTACTACTACAGCAGATGTTGTCTTTGTTCGCTTTGCGGTAATCTGTTGATAGGATCCTAGTGTTGGGTAAACCCGGGTGGGAAACCATCCCGGAGCGTAGCTGTACCCGAGCAGAATCTCTCTCGGCAAATATCGTGTTTCTTTCGCTTCGCGACGACCCTTTACCACTTTCTTTTCGCGACGGCCCTTTACCAGGATCTTGGTGAGGGGCGAGCCTGGGTGGGAAATCATTCCGGAGCTAGCTCCAGCGGCGGGGGAACTAGTGATCGACAAGCCCGGAAAGGGTGCTTTCGTTGCCACAGACCTTGACATGGTGAGCTTGTACAGCAGCCGCTTACTCGAAATATCTGTTTACAGCTAAGCCTTGGATCTCGCGCGGATTATCCGACACTTGTACCGATATATTCCGTGGGGAACGGCGCGTTTCACATTGTTAGCTTTCGGACGTCATGATGGTTTCTATATCCCGGTCCTGGTTCTACAAAGCAGATTGTTGTGTAGAAGTGGGTTTGTGTGGCCAAAGGTCGCGATGGTTTTACTCAGCCCCCTCGTTTCCTTGCTATTCTCTCCTTCCTCTTTGTCGTCTCGATCTCAACACCAACTACCGCCTACAACGACAAGGTTCTTCGGACGAGAGGGGTGCGGAACCTCGTCCTGACCGGAGTTACCACCGACGTTTGTGTGCACACCACGATGCGGAACGCCAATGACATGGGCTACGAGTGCGTTCTCCTTGAGGTGCGTGTGTGAGGAGTACGCCGCGGTATCAGAAATGCGCGGATCGTGATAAAAAACGATCATACCTGTGCATGTCAGGAACACCCGGTCACGTAGGTGCCTGTGTGTGCCCGAGAGTATTTTTCGCGTTCTAGAAGACGGAAGATACCGAAGTCGAGATTTAGATTTCGTCCTGTGACACGCTTCCACATAGTGAGTGATTTGCTATGTCAACTAGATCCTGGCAAATCGTTCCCGGCCTGCTCCGCTTTATCATAGCTAATCACTCAATAAAACTCGTTGAGGCCTGTCCTGTGACACGTTGTTGCACGTAGTACGTGATTCGCTATATCGAATACGTAGATCGAACGAGATCTTGTCGTGTGACAGGTGTTCGTGATTCTGCCACGCGCGCCGTCTCACAATCAGAATATTGTTCGCCTGCACTCAAAACAATCATCCCGCCGTTACCGGCTCCCATGATTGATTCCGCTCTGTCGCCCCCGGCCCCACCGATCGCTTGAACACACTCTGCGGATGAATCACCTTTACTCGGTGAGACCGAGCGCCCAAGACGGACTTGACCACACCGCCGCCGCCACTGCCCCTCATCTTTCGCCTCCGTCACCGCCCCCCCCCCCGCCCCATCTTCTTGGATGCACCGAAACGCGACGCGTCTTAGGATTGCTGCGCTGCAACCGATCCCCTCAACCACGCTGCAGCGATTTCGATGATAAAAAAACAGGGCGGCGTGTTCGGCGTGTCGACTTCGGCGGCCCTGGTCGCAGCCATGGTTGCCAGCAGCACAGCGACGGAAAGCGTGCAATAGACGTCACACATTTGTAAAAAAAAAAAAACACACACACACACACGCACACACACACGGCGGGTCGTCTCACCCATGTACCTACGAATATGTGTACCCACCAATAACAGGCTCCAAGTCTTGCGCGGTGACCCGGCCTTGTTGTATACGAATATTTCCGTCGGTCGTCGAAGGAATTCTGAGTATATTTTTTGTTGCACTTTTCGACATGTTCCACCTGGTTTGCGTCCAGACGCCTCGTATCGACAAGTTTGGGAGGTTGGAAAGCAGTAGGCTTTTCGACAGACGCTGGGGGTGGTAGACAGTCGGTCTGATCGTTGTCCACTCGGCGCGAGAAGCCAGCATATTTATTGTAATTTTCAACTCTTGGCGGATGTCTCTTGTGGAAAGCGGGGCTGGAGTTGCACGGGCGTCACGCTGGCGCGGAGATGTTCCGTGGCGCGAACGACCAAGCCGCCCTTGGAAATGATCAGTTCATCTCTGTCGCTGTGTACTGTAGTCTCATATTGTGCTGTAGAGCTTCTGATGATCGCCGGTGTGTTTTTGGCTAGAACACCTGGTTTCTTTCGCTAAGCTACGAGTCCCTCGGGTGCTGGGTTTTCGATCCAAACGTGCCCGATCCTCTACGCCGACGTTTCATGTACAGGTTTTTGTCAAGCATCATGTTGAGCTTAAGTGACTGATGTGATTGGATCTGGGAGTTTCTTGTGTAGGTTGCGTCTTGAAAGGAACGGTTCAAAGACACACTCGCACGTGATATTGTAGCTGTTAATTCTTAATCTTGAGTGCGCGCACAATTTGGTCCATTACTTTGCTTGGTTTAACGGCAAACAAGGAATGCGTGCAGTATCACGAGCATGCAAATGCCTTTCTACCACTGCTGTGTTTTTTTTGTTGTCATCACCGGGGTGGTTTCACCCTGGTCGTCCAGCATTGGGCATGAAACAGCCGTGCAGCTGTTTGAAGGCGAACCACAACGCTAGCGGCTGTGATAAAGTTCAACGTCAGCAAGGTGTCACCATCAAGGTCATTTACCCGCTCGAAACGCCTCTGCGGCCGGTCGCTCCCATCCAGGGTATCTACCAACCAACTCGCTCGATTTCCTGGGCGCTGTATGTTTTACATATATATGTACTCTGTCGGACTGGATGGTCTGTGGGACAGACACGAAAAACTCCGCGTGTTGTATAGTCTATGGGATTGATTCGTTCAACGGTCAACTCATTGTACAAACCCTACCTACGGGCTGCCGTAGAAGGCCGACAGATGGCGCAACGTGCGGTCGGTTTGTTTAATGTTCCCCCCTCGTTCTTGTTTTCGCACCCCGGTGCGACCTCTCCGACCGGTGCCATCTCTCCCGCCCCGGTGCGAAAATGAAGTTCATCATTTCAACTACATAGCTTTTTCGAGGCACCCCGGTGCCATCTCCCCGGCTGGTGCCTTTACTCCGCCTCCTAGTAATTGCCCCTCGATACTGTGATACTGTGAGGACACCGGTAACGGCAACCGTGTAGGCTAGTACGTATAGCAGCTTTCCATGCAGCAAGTGGTCATGGGTTTGAATGCGAGTTTGGGTATTGCGTGACAAGGTGTCGTTTCCATCAAGGGTACCAGTGCATACGGTACCATCAGATTGTGTGTTCCGCTTTCGTTTCGGTCTTCCTCTACGAATACCAGGTCTTACGCAGCAAAACGTTATATTTCGTGTGTAATGCGGGGTACTGCAGATTTGAGTCGAATGAAAAACCTGACATCCCGCGTGAACCGCGACCGTACACACATACATGAAGGTTCCGCTGACACCATCCCCACAAGCACAAGGTAGGAACGCACAGTACCTCTGTCCGGCAGCTCAAAAGAGCCCAATCTTGGATTTGAGGGTCGGCGAGATCGCCGACCTCGGTGCGGAAACAGAATAAAACCATGCCGGTCTTGTTTTGTTTTGAGCACCCCGGTGCCATCTCCCCGACCGGTACCATCTCCCCCACCGGTCGTCATCTCTACGCCTTTTGCGGTGTACGTTGAACTATAGTAGTAGTAGCCTATGGTACATTGGACCGCTGGCCTAAGGAGAATAGTAACGTTGGTACGCACACAGGACGTTGCAATTGCCTGTGTAAGTTCATCTTTCCGTGATAGGTTGGAGGCTCGCCCCCTCCGCGGTCCTCGCCCACACTCTCTCACTCTCTCTCTCTCTCTCTCTCTCTCTCTCTGCCAAGGCCCTTAGTCTTTTCACGGTCCTTCGAGACTCACCTTGCGAGTCGCAGGACACTCCCTCCTCTTTCCTTACCTTTCGGCCAACCTAGCGTCAATTCATACCGTCTCATCCGGTCTACTGGTCTACAAACAAGTGAGTGCGCGTCAGAGTCACTATGGATGGGAGCCTCTGCACACTGCTGTAACACACAAGTGTGGCTATTGCCAGGGATAGACACCCAATCCAGGGTTTCGGCCCAACATTTTTTGGGCCTTTCGGGTTCTACACAACTTATCCCAATAGATTGTCAGGTCTCGATACAGCGCAGCCAGGACAGAGGAGGTACATCTGCATCTGCGTGCGTCCGACCGGTAAATCCAGGATTTTCACAGCGCTTTCCTTGTCCTGGGTAGAAACTGCTGCAGCACCTCTTCTCCCCGGGACACGTGACGACTTCGATCGAGTTCGTCCCGCGGGGCGTCATCCACCCCTCATCCGAGATCACCTTCTTCGCGTTCAACGCGTTCGACCACGCTCGACAAGTCCCACACGCTACCCTCCGTATCTAACCATAGGCGATGGATATCTCCGTATCTTATTTTTCTTTTTGTTTGTGCTCTGGCTATTACTCGACCGCATTACAGCAGTAGTAGTGACTCCGGGGGAGGGAGTATGTGGGAATATCAGGAGAAATAAAGACAAGATATACACGAAAACGAAAACTACAAGTGTAGACTACATACTACCCGTTCGAGACAGACTATGACCACAGTCGAACGGGATGTGTTGGGGTCTTCGCAGTGAGTGGAGGGAAACCGGCAGGGTACTGGGCGTATTCCGAGTAAGATACGCGAATTTTTTTTCAGTGATGCGAGCAGGTGCTACAGTCTACTGTAAGTGAACTCACAAGACATCTCCCCCGTAGGAATATTCCTCGAGTGCATTTTTTTCCGTGTGTGTCGTCATTGTATTAGGAGGTATGCGTACTGATCGGAGACCGGAACACGGTTTGATGTGGAGACGTGGAGGCGTGGAGACGTGGAGACAACAACAACAACAACCAACCATCTTCCGCAGAATATATTTTTTGAGACGATAACTTGCTGTTGAAGGTGTATGCATAGAGCATAAATATGTACCGCAGTAGTTCGACGCAACTGACTTCAGTTCGACGGGTTCAAGCACACCGCCAGTTCTGCAGGGTCTTCAGCAATCCTCGCCAAGACCAAGACGCACCTATTTCCGAGACGTCAGCCACGACATCGGCATTCATCGTCGTCAGCGCCGCTGAGATTAATTTCCACGAGACTGTCGACATCTGCACGGGACTGTCGATATTCGCCACGTCATCACACGTCAACTATGTACAGCTAGCTGCTGTTGTTCATCTCGGACTTCTTCAGTCGCCATCAGCTGGTCGCCATTTACCCGCGCTTCAACACACGTGCACACTCCGTATGAGAGATCCTACATCTGCCTGTAGTATTGCTGCTACCAACGGGCGCCGTCGAAGCTGCAGACGGCAGGTTATTCTATGGAACTGCCGGCCAGCTGCTGCCGGCAACAAGTATTCCAACGCGGCCCGGCTGCCGTTCCAGACAAGCCGCTGGAACGCATCACGAAATGCGGGAATTATCCGCAGCACAAAGCTGCCAAGCCTCCTTCATGTGCAGTTTTCGGGTTCAACAGCGGCCGCTTATCATCTACATATGTAGACTAGATAATCTGCAGTGCAGCTAACTATATTGGCCGCCGTACTGCTGTGTCATCATCACCACCACAATCGCACGGTACATAGGACAACAACAGCAGAATACAGGGAGTACTGATACCCCTCGAATCGTTCAGACGCCCGCGGCTGAGTAACGACGGACGTCTGGGGGGGTGTTTACCGATTCACAGGCATCTGAACAGTGCAGTCTACATCTCAGCGACATCATCTTCTATGTTTCTTCTCTTCCCCATGGTTTCGGATCTTCTTTGCTGAATGTACCAACCCTCTTCTATGGTGGTATCACCCTGCGTCTTCTTCGAGCAGCAGCAGCAGCAACTGCAACTAACTATTAGTTGCAGCTGCCACCGCTCCACACGAGGAATCGGAGCGTCAGATGAGGTAGGCACTGATAGCCTAAGAGCAAAAACCTCTTTGCAAGAAGAATTGATTATTGCATATATATGCATAGCACTGCGCGGAAAAAATAATTAACACATTAACACACATTGCCTACATACAAATCGAAATCTTTTGTAGGGGCAAGTACAGACAGCAGTACTACCGTCAGACTGTTCGCTTCCAAATTTCCAAATTTCTTAGGGGTTTTATGCTGAAAATTCGGAAGCGAAATGGCTGTGTTTAAAACGGCCCTGAGGTGGTTTGGGTCAGGCGAGGACATGTTTTTCCAGAGATTCCCGGGTTTATGATGAGTGAGGCATTTTGGCTGAGAGGTCGCTGCTGCTGCTTCTCTCTGTGTGCGAATGAATGCCGTCTGGGCTGGGAGACCTCCGAAAGGTGGCAGACATCTCGACCTCTTCGGAAGCTTCCTACGCATACCCTGACATCCTTGTGGAGTAAGTAGCCTCTGGGTTTTTACGTGTCGAAATACTCATGGAGTGAACAGAAGTTTCATCTGTGGGTGGGTGCATTCTTGCATGCACACAATATCTCTCCTAATCGTGCCTACATGTGCCTACATACAATACAAACTCCGTCGCGGGTAAATTACGTCGTACTACTACTGTACGTTTGTCTGTCTGTATAGTCGAAGCAACAAAACGCTGACGTCCGAAAGACACAAACGCTTTCCGAATGGCTCGTATGTTATTGGTGATTCATGGAAACTTTTCGAAACTCCCACGGTTGGTTGGTTTAGTATCCGAAATTTTGTGAATGAATCTTTGGATTAGCGTTCACAGCCATCACGTGTATGTGTGATTGATTTGTTTTTTTATTTTAGTCTTTTCGGTTGAGAATATTTTCTTCGAACCTAGTGCAAAATACGTACAAGATGCATAGGCGTATGAACTTTGCGGGGGAGTGTTGGAACTCAATGTCAAGTCATGCTGTAAACACCAGTGCGTAGTAGGTACTCAAATAGGGAGTATTACGGATTAACGACTTCTCACCTACCTTAATTGAGAATGATGGTGCATCGGAACTATTTTTTTCTACGGGATATTCATTCTTGAAATGTCACTACAGGTTGGATTACCCGCCTGTTACCGTGGTCCGTGATCGGTACGTTCCAGCAGCCCGTGCGTGTGTGCATCTTTCCGTGATCGGTTGGAGGCTCGCCTCCGTGGTGCTCACCCCTGTAATCTCTCCCTCTCTCTCTCTCGTTCCTTTCTCCCCTACATCTGTCAAGGTCCTTGGTCTCTTCACGGTCCTTCGGGACTATAGCGATTCTCACGACACTCCCACCTCTTTCTCTACCTTTCGGTCAACAAAGCACCAATACAAAATAAACGGTCTACAAACAAGGGCAATTTTCAGTCACTTAGGTTCACACTGGTCATAGCCAGGGATACCCCGAATCCAGGGTTTACATCCGATAACCCCCAACGCTCTAAATATCTATATTTTTTGACACATGATACGTTAGCAAACTGCTGTTGTTGCTACCAACGTCAGAAACATCTATGCGGCGCTCACGAAGCTGCTGATCCGACAAGAGTTTTTCACACGACAGATATCCAATTTTTTTCCGAACACCTCCCCCCCAACCACATCCGACCACTCCCTCTTCCTCCGACTCTCGCTCGTCAGCCACACACCTGCCACAGGAGCACCATCAGCACAGCAATACATACACCCTAAGGGCCTACAGAGCGATCATGCCGCGTACAGCCACCGCCGCTGCTGCTGCGCTGGTGGGTGCGGGAGGGTTCTTCGCCCAACTGCCCACGGGCGATAGCCACGCCTACATGATGATCCCGGTCTCGCGTCAGTTGTGGGGGACCTCGGCCTTCCAAGAAGTGTGAGTTGAATAATTTCATCGCAAGGCAACCGTTCGTGTTGTCTACTGTAGATTACATCCCCGAACGGTGACATGCGTGTGTCGGGAGAACCGTGGAATAAAACGGATATTATGTTGGATGCATTTCGTTGTAGCAGCGCCTATAGTCGGTCCGGGTGTTTCGCATCATATGCAGTAGCTTGCAGTCGCTAGAAATGCACACCACAGGTTGTTGTTCTGCCGCGTGTCGACCAGAAAAAAGGCAATGGTGTGATGCCACATCGCCAACGGGAAAAAAGAACAACCAAGTATTGTACCTTCTGCTCCATATATACGCCTGTATCCACAATCCGTAGAACGGCCCCTGAACCCCTGTCGCCGCTCGGATCTTCACGTGCTCCTCTCCTCGCCACACTGCAGCGGGTCGCCGGACATAAACTACTGCCCACACTGTTTCCAGAGCCGTGGGCCAGCTGCTATTCGTGCACGTGGAGGCGACAAGCCGTGGCCTCACTTCAACGGTGAACGAGCGGAAAACGGCAACTACATCGAGAGCGAAGAGGTGGCTCAGAGGCACGGAATCTGCGGCGATCCTGAGCAGGTACCGTTTGTCGCAGAGTCGTTTCGCATGAGGGTGTGGATAGTTGCTATTGGGTACGGTTCTCCATGTGAACAGAAACCGTGCAGTACACACAAATACTATTAACTACCGTAGTACTATGCTTAAAGCTTGACTCTCTAATGCGAAAACAAGAAGGATGTACAACAGTAGAGTGAAAAACCTGTGTTTTCCCAAGGCCAACCTATACAAGAATAGAAAATATCTGCGCGTCACATCAGTACATGAGCATTGTCCAGCTTTGTGTTTGCGCTTAGATACACGTGGATATGTATACGCGACTTTCGGTCCTGACCGTACATGTACGCGCGCTATTGGCTGTGCCACTACTGTATCATATTTAGATCGATTGGAAGTACTTCCGTGCTTCGATTGCACGTAGGTTGTTAACCACCTGTCCCGTCATGTTCGTTTCAGACTGCGGCCGAAGACTCCAACAAATACGGCCTAGAGAACAGCAACTACCCCGTGCTCGAGACGTACGCCGAAGGGGGAATCCTCGAGTTCAAGATGGTCGTGTCGACCTACCACTGGGTGCGCTCACGTTTGGCTGTCCAAAGTGTCTTTCTTGTATCTCGTCGCGTGTCACGTGTCTGACGAAGGAGCTTTTTCGCTCCTTGCACGAAATCTGTCTCGACATGCAGCCCATCGTTCTTCGAACGTATATTGAACTTATCGAGGGCTTACCTACGCCGTCATACTACCAACGTTGAACCGCTGGCTGGGGGATGGTGGGTCCGATAAGACCTGCTTAGAATACCGTGTCGTAGCCCCGGCGAGCACTCGTGAATTGTTTATTGGACCCGATTACCGTGCGGGGTAAAATGAGAGGCACCCGCCGTGAGCGGGCGCTCTTTGATAAACCTGAAATACTACCCCGAGCGTGAAAAGGCCTCGTGGCGTTGTTCCGATCATTTCAGACCCAAATAATGAAGAAGACAACCTTCGCTCCCGAGATGATCTTTGACCCAAGCAGCATCAACGAAACGTAGTTGGGGGATTCTTGCACCGTTCGGGTAGCTGCGATTACCCTCCCCTCCGACAACCAACTGAAGAAGGGCCCGCAGAACGCACGGTATCCGCAACCCCCTTAGTATGGCCCACTATCGCGCCGCCGGGTCAACGAACCGGTTCTCAAACGAGCTCCGACAAAACGTGGTGGTGCTGGACTACAGGCTAGATAAAGGAACGATGAAAATATTCTGTGTGAACCAGGACAACAACAAATTTCAAATCCTTCAAGCATGTTGGTAAAAGCGAAACATTGACAATAAATTGCCAGGAAAGAGACCGTTGGTTTCTGTGGTTGGACCGTCGGGGGGTGAGGGAGGTTTCGCGAACAAGGGATCGCCCCGCGGGGTTGATTGAGAGTAGTTGGGGCGATCTTCAAACAGAAGACAGTTTGACCACGGGGTTTCAACACGGAGGGGGATACGAGAAGAGCATGTTACGGCACTGAATACCGGACAGGTGGAGCTGACGCTATCGAACAGGCTCTCCCCCTGTCTTCAAAATCCAACATATCTGTTGCCAATCTTCCCGTGCGCCTCTGACACACCCATTTTTTCTGACAGGGCCATGTCGAGATGTTCCTCTGCGACGCCGACGACCTCCCCGGCGGTCCCGACAGCACCGTCACACAGTCCTGCTTCAACGAGCACCCCCTGGATCGCGTAGACGACGATGACTTCAACAGCCCCATCGACCCCAGCAACACCGGGCGCTTCATCCTCGACCCCCCCTGCCGCGCCAGCGAAACCGACCAGGAAATGCTGGACGGCGCCTTCCCCGGTGATGTGGCCACCGCGAGATTCAAGCTACCCCAAGGCCTCACCTGCGAGCGTTGCGTGGTTCAGATGGTTTACTGTGAGTCACGAACTTACGTGGGGTCCTCCTTTTCATCCTTGCGTGCAGGCAGACGCTGCCCAGATTATTTTCGAAAGTGGTATCCAACGTACAATCTCTGACAGACATGCAGCGTTGCCATCCGAGATCTTTTTCTCGAGATCCATCCGTATCCCTTATTTTTCAAGGATACCGAAACGCCCTTTCACTCCTTGCAGCGAGTTTTCTCCAAATCCTTTTCCTTTTCTTCAATATTCCGACGAGTGTGTTGTCACTCATCCCCCTCTCGTCCCCAATATTCCTCATCAAAACGCAGACACCGGCAATTCGTGCAAGCACCAAGGATACGCAGAATTCAACCCCGAGTCGTGGCCCAGCTCATGCGCACCTACCAAGGCCGACTGGATCAACGAGGTCGTCGGGCATTGCGGCGACGGCGACGCCTACCCAGAGGAGTTCTGGAACTGCGCTGATATCTCGATCACGTCCGGTGAGTTCTTCCATCTCAGACATAATGCACTCTTATCCACAATGCAGTCCACGTGTCTACAACAAAACACGACTATAACAGGCTTGTAGATATTTGCCTTTGGTTCGTTTGGCTCTTCGAGTCAAGCCACGTCAGCTGTTATGAGCCCTTGAGCTTGGAAAACGTTGTAACCAACTGACTGCTGGCAGCCAACTGTGGGCTGGCTCTGACGCCTTCTATTGCTACATCGCAGAGCACCCTTGATGGTGGTGCTGTGCTGTACTTTCAAGAGCTCTGACTGGAGGGATCACTTGTACGCCCTACATCGTATTGCAAAGCAAGCTTTGGAACGGCAAGTTCCCTCGTGCACGCTAGCCTCTCATATGGCAGGCACTCTACCCCCTTCCCCGCTCCCCCCTCCTCGCCTTCCGTGCTTTTCGGCAACCGTCAGATGGAGACCCGGCTCCCAGTCCGACAACTGTCCTCACCCCCGCCCCGACGGCCCCTGAAGAGACCGAACCGCCTGCGACCGACGTGCCCACGGCAGCGCCCTCGTCCGCCACGACTTCCGAGGGTGAAGAAGAAGAGGAGGAGACCGGCGAGCCCACACCGGCCCCGATCGCCATCGAGGGAGAGGACACTGACGTGCCTACCTCAGCTCCAACAACCTCCCAGGGAGAGGAAGCCGACGAGCCCACGTATGCCCCCACTTCCGAGGGGGACAGGGAGGAGGAGAACACGGACGGGCCTACACCGGCGCCCACCATCCCCGAGGGAGAGGAGACTGACTTGCCTACCTCGGCTCCAACAACCGTCCAGGGAGAGGAAGCCGACGAGCCCACGTATGCCCCCACGTTCGAGGGGGACAGGGAGGAGGAGGACACGGACGGACCTACGCCGGCGCCCACCATCGCCGAGGGAGAGGAGACTGACCAGCCTACCTCGGCTCCAACAACCTCCCAGGGAGAGGAAGCCGACGAGCCCACGTATGCCCCCACTTCCGGGGAGGAGGAGGACACGGACGGACCTACGCCGGCGCCGACCATCGCCGAGGGAGAGGAGACTGACCAGCCTACCTCGGCTCCAACAACCGTCCAGGGAGAGGAAGCCGACGAGCCCACGTATGCCCCCACTTCCGAGGGCGACAGGGAGGAGGAGGACACCGACGGGCCTACGCCGGCGCCCACCATCCCCGAGGGAGAGGAGACTGACTTACCTACCTCGGCTCCAACAACCGCCCACGGAGGGGAAGCCAACGAGCCCACGTATGCCCCCACTTCCGCGGGGGACAGGGAGGAGGAGGACACGGACGGGCCTACACCGGCGCCCACCATCGCCGAGGGAGAGGAGGGGGAGGAGACCGATGAGCCCACACCAGCGCCCACCACCGAGCTCGAGCCGGCCACGATCATGGCCTCCCCCACCGAGGCGATCGTGGCGACCTTCGCACCGTCGGTGCCCCCCCCTGTGTCGACCGACCCCGACTGCGAGGACCCTGTCGGGGGGTTCAACCAGTGCGGGGGACCGGGCTACGAGGGCTCCACCTGCTGCAGGACCGGCTACGACTGCGAGCAGATGGCGGACTGCTACTTCGAGGTAAATAAAACGCACGTCGGTGTTGTACTTGCAGCGTGTCTGCGGTGCACTCGGTGGTGATGGTTGAGTGGCCCTCGTAGTTTTTCTCACCAGCGGCAGTGATTGTTCGTGAGTGCGACCGCGTCTGTCGCTACTTCCTTCCCCCTTCCCATTCTCGCATTAACCGGCCGACAACACTACCTACCCCGCCCTCTCTTTCTTGGCGTGTTGTTCTTCCCTGCATTGGTCCCAGTGCCGCCCGCGTGGCGACCGCTGCTCCGAGAGCTGGGGGCAGTGCGGAGGATTGGACTGGGAAGGCCCCGAGTGCTGCTGGCCCGGCGCTAGGTGCGCCGAGCGCAACGAGTGGTACTACCAGTGCATTCCCGAGGATGCCATCTACAGATAAAGGGGTCTTGTTCCATCCACCCAAGCACGGTTGGACGGCGGCTCGGTCGTGGACACGCCATCAAGACCACGAGGCTTGGTTGTTGGTATCTAGGTCGGCTCTCCGCCATACATGTGCACGTGAGGAATTAGAGAGAAAGGATGAATCGTGAAGCCGCTGGTTTGGACGACAATCGTTTGTTGTTTCTGGCAGAGCTACTCTTTCGTATGTGTCGCACCGTGTTGCTCATCAAGGTGGCCGAGGTCTTTGGTGTTGGCCCGGTTTTTCCTCGGGAGACTTTCGTAGCTTCCCGCACTTTCGTGGAGTGAAACGAGTACACTCCTCCTGTTGTCCAGTTCTCGAGCTGTTGCAGTTGTTTTCTCGTCTGAGAGTAGTAGGCTGCTGGTGAGTGTCTTCGATTCGCTTTGCACCGTTGAGATCGTCGGCGCTCAGGTACCGTCATCTTGAGCATTTCCTTCGTTTTTCTCTCCGTTTATGTACGGCAACACCACATCATAACAGCTCTTTGACTTACCTCCGCAGCCTGAATAGGGCCGCGAGGCAAACAACGACACACCACCCCCGTGATCATTTGTGCTATTAGCTGTATTACACACTCCTCTCACGCAAGTTGAGCACGCTCCGTCCCGTCGGCGTAGATGGTCGGTACCCGGCGGCGGTGGCTGTGCTTCCATGTTCTGGGCTCGGAAGAAGGCGTTTCGTCGACGATGTCATGAGTTAGTGTGTTTTTTGCTTTCCAAGGTTTGGTGGTCTCGTGAGACTGGGTCGTGAAGGATGGCATAATAGTTGCTTTGTGCGTCATGGCAGACTCCCACCTCTGAGCGCTGAGTGTTCGTTACTGTTGTGGGTATTGGCTCCCAGGCGCCATGTAGCTGCTTGTCCAGGTTTGGTTTATTTAGTGGGTGGATGCTACATCTCCTTGGCCGTGTTCAGAGTTTCTCGTCTTTGGGTTTTATGATTGGAGAAATAACATGTTCGTGATCCCCGTTGGGCATCCGAAATTGTTTGCCCTGATCCGTTCGCGTTTGGTGGTAGAAAATGACAGTAAATGCACGTCGTCGCAGACCTGTTGGACGAAAGCTAGATTCACATATCTACTGCGCGGACCGATATTTAGCACGGGTTTACTCGGTAACGGTTTTTTAGGCGAACACGGTTTCGGCGGTAATGTCATTTGGTGGCAAGGGGTTTGGCGGTAAGGCGGTAATGCATTTATTTGTCGTCACGGCTTTGGCGGAGGCGACGAAATAAATTAACTGCTGTAATTTTTTGGACGGAAACGCCACACGGCACAGTTGGCGGTTTTTGCGTTTTTCGGCGGTAATTACTTTAGGCGAAGGCGGTAAAACCAAAAATCGGCGGGAACACGGCGGTAAACCGTTACCGCCCACCACGGCGGTATATTCATGGTGGTAAAAAATACCGAGGGTATATAGCCCCTAGCCAGGGGCATCTGCTGGAGAATGCCCTCGCGGGTTGTCGTGCGAGTCGTCGTCGACTCACTCCTTGCGTGGACCCGCCAAGTTGGTTCTCATTGTGGTTGTTTCCAATATCGTTCCGCTGAGACGTGAGAATGGTAGTTAGTTGCGTTTTCCCCCGTCGAAGGACGGGGTGGGGGTCCCTTTACGCGTGCTTTCCAGCATTCTCAAATGTCATGCGCAGGTGGTTTGGGTGCCTCGTTGAGCGTTACTGGCAAGCACAAGGTAGGTTTTGCGTCCATAACTGCATTGACTTGACGTTGTTCCTGTTGAATGTTTCATGGTGTACAGAAGGTAAGTACATGTAGGAGGAGAGGAGGCATTGCCCCTCCACGCCCCTAGTTGGGGCGGGTGCCCAGAATGAGAAAGATGAATGTGGGGACGAATAATTCGTGGTGGACATATGACGGGGTGTTTCTAGAACCACGTGCGAATACCATATGCATAGTCTATACGACTTGTGCGTTTTGTGTTTTCTTGAAAAACAATAATTGGAACGATTTGGTTTTGTCGAACATGGATGGAACATATGAGAAAGGGCAGAGAAAACTGTCATTGTTTTGGTGATGAAACATCGAAAATAAATATCAAGGATCAATCCCAGCCTTGTCGCCGAGAGATCACGCCAAAGGCAGGTAAAGAGTGTTCGAAGCCCGCTCGTGGATGCGTCCAAGCTCCAACGGAGCAATATGGCATGGTGCAGAATACTGTTGTGGGAAAACTCTGGGTGGGGAAAGTCTTGAAGTACAAACAGCCGCAACATCAGACTATACATACATGTGAAAACAATCTGCATGCGCCATTGGTGCGAAGGGTCTCAAGATACACTAGGGAAAGAAATCAACGAACGATATGATATGATGACTATGTCCCAAGAAGGGGAGGGGCATTAACGAGGTAGACACCGTGGACAATGATTCAAATTTCTATTTCGCCAGGCGGCAGAGCTTTTGCCGTACTCAGCACCGATGTGAAATAGACCTAAAGTAATAGTACCACGAGTACTAACATTCTACACGAAGCACAACCAACATCAATCTATCTTTAACAACATTGAGGTGAGGAAAAACTCGTTCACCTTTCTTTACCTCAGAAACGATCGTACATTATTAGAGAAGCAAACCTGTGCATCTTCCATCGAAGCTCGCGAAGCGACTTCCATGGAAGTCGCTTGGTAAGCTCGCCCACCTTCGTGCAGGTTAGGAAGCTTTGTGGCACAGTTCCCACGGAAGTGTACCACCTGAATCCAGATTCCATGGAAGTCAAGATGAGTGACAACCATGAAAGCTTTCAAATACAGCTTTCATGGAAGTCGTTCGCGTTTCTCAACGTCCATGGAAGCCATCGTCAGGGGCTTCCATGGGAGCTGTCTCCCACTCGTTTCCACGGAAGCAATCACCCGAGTCCAGCTTCCATGAAAGTCATCGTGCAGGGCTGTCATGGAAGCTTGCACGGGAAGCTCCCATGACAATCCTTCTCTAGGATGTCCGCTTCCATGGAAGACCTCGTGAAGGACTTTGAGGATGTCGCACCTAATCTACTCAGCGGCAGTGGGTTGTCGATGCGTTCGACCACGCATCCGTTGCCGACATATAATACTTGGGCCCTGGTCGGTAGCCGTTGCCGATGCCGCTGTCACCGGAGGACCCGATCACAGTGACTTCCGCTCAATGTCTCCCGTCACTCTAATGCAATGCCACCTCATACCGCTGCACCGCCGACAAAGGAAACGCCGTCCATATCCGACCATGTCGAGCCTATGCTAGAAAGTCCACGCCAGAACTTGAAACGCATGTAGTCCCTCTCGAGTTCTTCACGGCAGCAGGACCCGCCGGCGAAGCCATCGCCGTCGCAGCCGCCGCAGCCGCAGACGGTGCCGGGGGCAAAGAGGGAACCGCAACCACCGGTGTGATAACGGAGGCACCACCCGCCGCCGTGACAAATAGAGGCACCGCCCCCCACCCCTGCTGTAAAAACGGAGCCGTCCCGGGGCGGTGCCGACGCCCCCACAACGAATTTTCCTCTGAGGAGCCACCGGGTTTCATTGTTGATGCAGTTTCGGTAGCGCGGCTATCGCTGCCGGCAATACAGATCGCGGACGTTTCGGCTGATGGCCGGGGTGTGCCCCTGTCGTCTGCCGGAGTACGCACAGACCGGGCCCAAATGGATACGACCGGTCCTGCCGCAACGGGGGCGTACGCTCTTAGCTTGCGCAAAGGATCTACAAGTCCAGGAGTGGACGATTTCTTTTCGGTTGTTTCGTATCCCCCGGCATAGTTGTCTGCTTCCGCTCGCTCGGCCGAAAGTGTGCAGGCTGAATTATTTCGACCACTGATTCCTCTGCCGACTGGGCTGAAGTCGCCCACACGGGTGGCTGGATGGCGTGCCCCGCTTCACAAGCGTGTCCTCATGGGTATTTCGGATCCCTACGGCGCCAACGTGGCAACTTGCCGCGAGGTAGATTCCTCGTTTTTCACTAAGAACTGCTTTCTGGTGACAGCTGGACGCGTTTTCTCTCTCGCTTGTCCACAACTCTGCCCAGGTGGTCTGTGAGTGGACGCATGTCGATGTGTTGCCACACGCGCCTTCGACGGATGTCGACGTCGAGGGGTTTCGACGTTTGTGGCCGCAGATGGTATGCCGATCATCTCGGCCCGGAAAATGTTCGCCCTCGCCGGCATTGCACCCTGCGCGGGCTCTGTGCCCGAAGGACCTCCTCCGGCTTCCGTTTCTGTGGAGCCGGACGTCGCTCTCTCGTCCACGTTTCGCCGCTGCCCGTTCGATTCTGCGAGATCCTCTGAATTCTTCTCGAACTGAACGCAGCTTCGGGGAATGGCTCGAAGCCGTCCTACCTATTTTCTGGAACAACCGCTGGCCAATGTTTTGCCCAGAACCCCGCGGTCTCCTCGGACGCTTCCTCGCAATCGCGGTGACACGTTGTCGGCGCGTGCTGCCGGCCGCTCATTTTGAAGCTCGCCGCCCCCTGCGGCGTCTGCCGAGCCGCCGCTCCCATCACCGGCCAGCGCGTGACCAACTGCTGCACCCGCCGCCCGCGGAGCACACGTCATCGTCCCTGCCACCCGCTGCTACTAGCCCCGGGCCTTCGGCGGTCCCGCCCACAGTCGCCGAGAAAGTCCGTCTCCCCGACTGTGTGCATTCGTTCTCGCAGGCTGATTGGGCTAGGGAACAGCTGCCGGAAAGTGAGTGCGTGATGGCCATACGTTTTCCATGTTTGGGGATCCCCGACGGTCTTGCCAGATACTTTCTGGGATTCTTCGACTCTTGCGCGGGCGGCCAGCGCTGTCCGATGTCGTCGCCCTTACATCTTCGGAGGCTCCAAGTTTTGCGCGGTGACCCGCGCTTGTAGTAAAGTACCGCCCGTTGTCGAAGCAAATTTGTTTTTTGTTTTGGTGCTGCATCCCCAACCCCGTTCACGTCCGCCGCCTTGTGTAGACAGGTGGGAGGGTGGCTTGAAATGAGCAGGTCCTTCGGCAGACGCTGGGGATGGCTACACAGTCGGTCTGATCGTTTTCTGTTCAATCAACACGACGCCAACTTGCGCCCGCCCACATTTACTGCGAATTTCACCCTCGTCGTGGATGTCTCTCATGTGCAGCGGGGCGGGAGTTGGACGGGCGTCATGTTGGAGCGGAGATGTTTCGTGGCGCGAACGACGATATCGTCTTTGCGTATGTAGTCTCAATATTGTGCAGTAGAGTTCATATGATCGCCGGTGCTGGTTTGGCTGGAGAGCCTCTGGTGTCTTTTGCTGAACTACCAGTCCGTTGGGCGCTGGGCTTTCAAAGCTATCGAAAAGTGCTGGGTGCTCCACGCCGACGTTTCATGCGTCAGTTGTTTATCAAGCATCATAGCGAGCTTAAGTGACTGATGATATGATTGGATCCGGGAGTTTCGTGTGTAAGCTATTTCTGAGAGGAAAAGGGTTTGCCAAACACACTCTCGTCCCCGTTTATTGTGTGTGTAGATGGAGTACGAAAAATGATTTCAATATCTGGAGTGCCTTGTTTGATTACCTTGCTTGGCTCAAGCGGCGAATATATGTATGCACAGTAGTCTAGGCCGTAGTCGGGAATCATGAATGCCAAGACTTCTATGCCCTGTGCTACTGTACATCGGCGGGTTGGGTGCTAACGACCGGAACGTATTGAATCCAACGTGACCAGAGGCGTCACCTATGTCATCATCACCCACACGAAACGTTTCGGCTGCCGGTCGCTCTGACCCAGGGTATCTACCAACTCTCTCGATTTGCTCTGGACATTGATTGTGTGTAACATGGCTGGATGCTCTGTGGGACCGACCTACTATCTTTTTCGTGTCTAGTTTGGATCGAGCCTCAACGTGATTGCTCGAAAACTGTTCGCGTTTGGTGATGGTGAGAACAACAAGCAGCGCCGTGGGGACGGCGAGATCATGTGTGGGAAGAAAGTAAAGTGCTTTTTCTCGCCATGGCAAAACGACGGAGGAGATGGCCAGAAACAGGACCGATAGAGACGGAGGTTTGCGACAACCAGCGTTCTGGTCGGCGTCGTAGTGAGCGAATGGCGCGATTCCTTGAAATAAATGTGCCGCATGAAACCTTTCAATTCTCAGAAGAAACAACGGTCTCTGTCAGAGAGTAGATAACGATATGATTGCAGTAGCTCCGAACGGCACTAACATTGCCGAGCTGAAGCGCAGTTAATTTTTTATTCTTGTGGTACATATATGTATCCATTTTTTGTCTCTTGTGTGTACTCATTTACCCCGTTCCTCGTTCCAAGTCGTTGACATGCATTGCAGTCTAGACTACTGAAGCTTTCGCCACTGCCACTCTCTTGGGTTTTGCTTGCAGGTGTGGCGCACACAGATCACCTGCGAAGGTTCCGTGTCTCTGTTCACTCAACCATTAGTCAAGCACAGAGTATACCGACCCCCTGTGCGTGCATGGATGACATACTTCTCTCGCTGCCTCTAAGACACTTGATCAATACTTTGTGCAAGCTGTTATTTGCCGCCAACGGCAGAAACACGTGCGGGAATAAAGCTGTTGAACAGTACTTTTTCACAAGATTTCCAGAATATTTCCGCACACCGCCCATCTACCCACCCACCCACCCCAACCACACTACATCACTCCCTCTTCCTCTTCCTCTCGCTCGTCAGCCACACACCTGCCCTAGGAACACCATCAAGTAGCAATACATACCTAGTCTACACAGCGATCATGCCACGGACAGCCGTCACCGCCGCCGCTGCTGCGCTTGCGAGCGTCGCAGGGTTCTTCGCCCAACTGCCCACGGGCGATAGCCACGTCTACATGATGACCCCGGTCTCGCGTCAGCTGTGGGGGACCTCGGCCTTCCAAGACGCGTGAGTTGATCAGTTTCGTCTCGCAAGGCAACCGTGTGTATTGTCTATCTACTGTACAAAAGATCGCGTCCCCGAGCGGTGACATGTGTGTGGCGGGAGAACCTTGGAGTGAACCGGATATGATGTTGGATTACACATGCGATACAGCAGTTATAATAAGTTATAATAAGTTGTTAAATATACTGCTGTAAGAAGCGCCGACTGGACGTAATGCACTGCTGTAGTCTCGATCCGGGGTGGTGCGCGCATCATAAGCTGTCGCTTGCGGGCTCTATCAATCCGCCCTGTGCCATGTGGATATGCATGGACAGAGAGTATTCTCTACATGCAGTCGTCAGAGCTCAGGGTGTTGTGTTCTGATGTGTTGTCCGAGCGACGACCAGAAAAAAAGGTCCGTGATGTGATGCCACATCGAGCGGGAAAACGGAAGCGGGAAACGGGAAAGATTTTTAACCGTTATTTACTACCGGTGTTATACTGTTGTACTACTGTACGTCCATCAGAACTGCCCCTCTGTAACCCTGTCGCCGCTCGGACCTTCACGCGCCCCACTCTCCGCCACACTGCAGGGGATCGCCGGACATAAACTACTGCCCACACTGTTTCCAGAGCCGAGGGCCAGCCGCTGTTCGTGCACGTGGAGGCGACAAGCCGTGGCCTCACTTCAACGGTGAACGAGCGGAAAACGGCAACTACATCGAGAGCGAAGAAGTGGCTCGGAGGCACGGAATCTGCGGCGATCCTGAACAGGTACAATTTTGTGTCGAAGCGTCGTTGTGGCGCATGAAGGTGGTGAATTATGATGTTGCATGGGACAGTGGTGCAATTGAAGCGTCTGGACAACAGCAGTACACACACCCATAGACGCTTGTACAGTAGATTGACTGCTGCAGTACAGTATGGAAGTTTGACTCTTTCGGGGGCGAAAACACAAGGATTTACCACGTACGTACATTGTGCGTTGTCCACAGCAAGTGTTGACCTTAGATATGTAGACCAGTCTACATGTATATTATAGTTGTTCCACCGTGAAGTTATATAAACTTGGCTACCGCACTTGACCTTACATGCACGCGCGCAATGCATACTACACTGTAAGCATCTTGTCGAGTCTTGTCGTACCGTGGACTGTTGTACCGTGCTTTGATTTTTCATAGCTGTTCAACACCTTTCACTCATGCAACCGTCATTTTCCTTTCAGACTGCGGCCGAAAGTTCCAACAAGTACGGGCAGGAGAACAGTAACTACCCCGTGCGCGAGACGTACGCCGAAGGGGGAATCCTCGAAGTCAAGATCGTCGTGTCGACCTACCACTGGGTGCGTTCACTTTTGGCTGCCCGACGTGTCGTTCTTGTATCACGTCTCGTCGAGTGCCACGCGTGTGTCTGACCAAGGAGCTGTACGCCCCGCACGACGTCTGTCTCAGAAGTAGTCGACATGCCGCGCGTCATTCTTCGCTCGTTTGTAGACCTTCGCGAGGGCGTTAACAAGTCATTTATCCTGCCAACTGCTGTTGAACCGCTTGCTGGGGGGATGGCAGCTCTCCGCGATACCGGGGGGCAATCGTGTAGTACTGTGTCTTTCCGGAAATGTCACCGGGATACTGGCTAGAGGGGCGCTTTTTGAAGAACTGAAAAAGCTCCGGGGGTAAATATCCTCATGGCGTTGTTCCGATAAATATTGCAAAAATGTGACGACATTGACGAATCACCAACACACGCACATATCGCCGCCATCTCGGACCCGGACATCCATCAAAATTAGTCGTGGATTCTACCGCCGTTCAGGTAGCTGGGCTTCCTACTCTAACATGTCCTTCGACAACCTTCCTCTCCTGACAGGGTCATGTCGAGATGTTCCTCTGCAACGCCGCCAACCTCCCCGGCGGCCCCGACAGCACCGTCACACAGTCCTGCTTCAACGAGCACCCCCTGGATCGCGCGGACGACGACGAGTTCAACGGCCCGGCCGACCCCGACAACACCGGGCGCTTCATCCTCGACCCTCCCTGCCGCGCCAGCGAAACCGACCAGGCACTGCTGGACGGCGCTTACCCCAGTGATGTGGCCACCGCGAGATTCAAGCTGCCCCAAGGCCTCAGCTGCGAGCGCTGCGTGGTTCAGATGGTTTACTGTGAGTTACGTTGGTCGTCGGTATTTCCTCGAAACGGTAACCAACGTATAACTGTGACGGAATTACCGCGTTGCCATTCAAGACTGACACTTCCTCGGGATTTTTTCAGTAGCCCTGCATTTCAAGGATACCGAAACGCACTTCCACTCCTTGTCACTTTCTAAGGTTACTTGTTGACTTTCATGCACCCCTCCCTTCTTCCTCATCACACCGCAGACACCGGCAACTCGTGTAAGCACCAAGGATACGCCGAGTTCAACCCTCCCTCATGGCCCAGCTCGTGCGCCCCGTCCAAGGCCGATTGGATCAACGAGGTCGTCGGCCAGTGCGGCGACGGCGACGCCTACCCGGAAGAGTTCTGGAACTGCGCTGATATCTCCATCACGTCCGGTGAGCTCTTAAACCTCAGATATCATGCACCTTCATCTACAACGTAGTCCCTGTGTTTTCAGTTGTCATGTAAATCCGCGAAAGAACCTTCGGAACTCTGAAATACCGCCCTCATGGTCCCTCATGCACGCAAGCCTCTCACGCATATGTCCGGCACTCTCCCCCCCCGCCCCCTTTTCCTTCCGTGCTTTCCGTCGATTGTCAGATGGAGGCCCCGCTCCCGGCCCGGCTCCCGGCCCCGCGCCCACCCCGACGGCCCCTGAAGAGACCGAACCGCCTGTGGCGGACGTGCCCACCGCAGCACCCACGTACGCCCCGATTCCCGACAGCGAGGCGGAGACAGACTAGCCCACCCCGGCGCCTACCACCGTCGAGGAAGAGGAAACCGACGAGCCCACGTACGCTCCCACTCCCGAGGGCGAAGAAGCCGAGGAGGAGACGGACGACCGACACCCGCGCCCACCGCCGAGCTCGAGCCGACCACGCCCATGGACTCTCCGACCGAGCCGATCGTGGGGACCTTCGCGCCGTCGGTGGCCCCCCCCGTATCGACCCACCCGGACTGCGAGGACCCCGTCGGTGCGTTCAACCAGTGCGGAGGAGCGGGGTACGAGGGATCCGCCTGCTGCCGGACCGGCTACGACTGCGTGGAGATGGCAGACTGCTACTCCGAGGTAAATATTCCCACGTCTACGTCGTACTTGTTCTAGCTTGTCGGCGATCGTGTACGCACTCCTTTGAGTCCTCCTCCGTTATTTGAGAATCTTCCTCCTGAGTGCGCCCTGCTATTGCTGCCGCCCTTTTTTTGGCATTTCTCGCGTTCTCTGGCCGACCATACCACCTCGCCCTCTCCTCCTTGGCGCGTGTTTATTTTCTACGTTGATTCCAGTGCCGTCCCCGCGGCGACCGCTGCTCTGAGAACTGGGGGCAGTGCGGAGGACTGCACTGGGAAGGCCCCGAGTGCTGCTGGCCCGGCGCCCGTTGCGCCGAGCGCACCGAGTGGTACCACCAGTGCATTCCCGAGGATACAGCCGCCTGATAAAGATCCGTTCTTCCTACCCTCCAAGCGCTTTGTTCCGGTGGTGAACTCGCGGGCAAGACCATGATGGCTTGGTTGTTGTTAATCTAGGTTGAATCGTGAAGCCGCTGTTGTGGACGGCAATCGCTTATTGTTTCTCGTAGAGCTACTGCCTTCGTACGTGTCGCACCATGTCGTTCACCCAAGTGACCGCGGTCTTCAATGTAGCAGTTTGGTTTTCCCCGAAGGCTTTCGATGCTTACGGTAGTTTCGTGGTGCGAAACAAGTATTTTCCTGATGTCTGTTTCCCGTTCTGTTCTCTTGGACCAGCTAAATGTAGTTGTGTTCACTCGTGTAGGAGTGGGCTGCTGGTAAGCCTGTGCCTTCCGTTCAATTGTGCCGTTAGAGGTCGTCGGCCCTTGGGCACTATTCGCTCCAGTTTCTTCTTCGTATTTGCTCTCCGCTTGTGTAAGGCTGGCAGACAACAGAGAAACGAGCAATAGAGCTCCGAAGCCGGAATGGTGCCGCTAAACGAAGAACCTTCACCGGTTTCGAGTATCCAATTATCGGTATCACACGCACCTTTTACGCAAGCACGCTGCCTTCCCGTTAATGATGGTCGAGTACCCCGGCAGCGGTGGCTGTGCGTCCATGTTGTGGGCACAAACGATGTTCGTATTCTATGATGTTCGATGTTTGTTGGTTGTATGAGGTCAGAGATTGGGAGGATCGTGAAGGATGGCATGCGTCGTGGTAGACCCGCGTCTCTGAGCGATGAGTATTCGCCTTAGCAACTTGTCCAGATGTTGTGCAATTTAATGGAAGCTTTTTTACAATGTGATCCTTGACCGTGTCCGAATTTACTCGCCTTTATTCCTCCTGTTGGGTGTCAACATATTTCTTGTCCTGGTCGGTTTGCGTTTGATGTGGAAATTTTCTCGAAAATCACGTCGTCGCAGACTTGTTGGGAAATACAATGCATGTCTCCTGCACGGACCGACAGATGCTAGACTGCTAGGTGCATCTGCTGAAGGGTGTTTTTTCGGGCTGCTGTGTGCCAGCCGCTGTCGATTCCCCCATGGGGTCGACTTGCCACCTTTTTGCTGCTCGCCTGTATGATTTGTATTCGCGTTCGTTCGCGTTCATTCGTGTACTTTTTACATTGTCGTAGTCGCTGTGAAGAAAGATGGTAGTTGCTTTTTCCGCCGTCGAAAGAAGGGGTGGTCGTTCCTTTACGCGTGCTTCTCCAGTATTATGCAACGTCGTAGGCAGTTGGCTCCGGTGTCTCTTACTGGCGAGGGTGTTGTTGCCCGCGGGTAGGCTTTATTTCATCGAATGCATGCAATATTGTTGTTGTTGACAAGGAATTCATGGAAGTCTATTGTGCGTCAGGAGCGCTGATGGTACGTGCCCTTCGTGCGCAACGTTCGCCACTACCCTGGTCATCCCGGGTTTTTGTTTCGCTGCTGATCGGCTGCTAGAGTTGAGCTTTCGGGTTTGAAATATGCAGACTTTGCTATCATCTTATGAAGTCCTATGCAACAAACGCCTTGACAAAACTGGATGAGGGGCCAAAAGCACGGGGGGTGCTTCGCGTTCTTGAATCCACGTGCCCTCTTTCTGTGGGCAAACGCTTCCGGTGAATGGCGCTGTCACGTTTATTGTATTTGAGGGAAAAACACGGCCAAATTCCGTCGGTGCTCCTCTCCTCAACATTCATTCGGGGTTGGACAAGATGAGTTTGAAAAACTATTGAGAAACAAACCGGCAACACGACTCAAAGGTGTTTAGAGTCTGATACATGGTGCGCCGGCTTTGTCTGGATGCCATTGACGGCAGCCCTCCCTGTGGATCAAGGAACGAAAGCTCTATCTCCATGTTTCCCAGGGTTGCCGGAAGGCTGGTCCAAGGAAAATATATCACAGGCTAATTTAGCGATAAATATCCATATCAGCCACCGTGTTCAACGAGAACAGCGTTGGTCACGGGAGATTATTACGTTGCACTGGACGGCTAGGACGACTAGGGGGCCGATTTCCGCAAATAGACTATCCCGCGGGGTATTGTCCACGATGCACGGTGCGAATCGTTCCTCATAGAAACAAGTAGCTTAAGTGTTGTTCCCTCCCTCATCTACGGCAGGAAGTGCGAGATTGTCTCAGCTAAATGAGAAATGTTGTCCACCAGCGATGTAATAGATGGTAACATGCGCTTGCTCGGCAATCTCGGGTGTTCGGCCTGGGCATGGCGGGGCTATCATCGGCCAGTGCTCACGACGACGCTGGGTCGTCCCGTGGGTTCGTGGAGCGTGCGAATCTCACGTGGATTGTGCCCTCCCGTGCATTGCCATATGTTGGTTTTGCGAGGAGGAAAGACGGAATTGGTCAAACCATTTTTTGGTTTGGAATTGGTCACGGTGTGCACGGGATGGCCGAGATCCGTAGTTACGGAATGCTCACGGTTGTGTGGACAGGTTTAACGAGCTCAAGAAGAAGCTGCAGATGCATGCATGCGAGAGAATGGCGAAGATAATGAACTTCTTACATATGTTACAGTATGTCCAGTAGCATCGGACTTCCGAGAGGCGGCGGGTGCAGGCAGACTCGCGATGATGTACTCGATCTATTGCACAGGTCGGACCGATGACGGGTCAATGGTATCTAAGGGTAAATTGAATAACATACTTTAGCAAATCATGCTGTTGTAGCACTCCACCGGTAGGGCGTAGGGCGCCGCTGTGCTTGCCGCATCTTCCGTGAAAGGCCCGCCAACGGAGACACTGAGGTTGAGCGGAGATGTGGCTGCCTGGCGTCGTTCCACGCTCTTCCTTCTTTTTCGTAGAGGTTATTCATAGCTCTGGAGGGGCAGCTCAAGTCCACTACCCAGCTCCATAATATAAAAAGGCTAGACTCGAAACCGGCGCTGTGACGAAGTGAGAGGTGAGAAGCCGTGTAGCTGTCGTTAGTTGATCTGCGTCCGTGAATCAAGGAGCTGTTGCGCCGAGTGCCGAGGAGGTGGTTCGCTCGAGAACCTTAATTATTTCGATGGACAACCCGGGGATGGGTCCTGTTTGCCCCCCCC